GATTACAGGCATGCGCCACCATGCCCAGCTGATTTTTTGTATTTTTAGTAGAGACGGGGTTTCACCATGTTGACCAGGATGGTCTCGATCTGTTGACCTCGTGATCTACCCGCCTCGGCCTCCCAAAGTGCTGGGATTACAGGCGTGAGCCACCGTGCCCGGCCACAAGTCATATTTTTTAATGATACTCTGACAATGTAAGAAATGAGACTTTCCATTTCAGAAAAAAAGTCACAGACACCTGTATGTGGGGAAAGAAACATGCTATCTTAGCTTGTTTTTCTACAAACAATTTGAAGTAAAAATTTACTCAATAACCCATTGGTCAGGATGGGCAATCCTACTGCAGAAGTGAGGAAACGGAGTAAGGCTTGTTAGGACAAAGAGAAAGTATAAGAGGGTGATTACCTAGTTAGCAGTAGCTCTGCAGTAAGCACATCTGATTTCTCAGTCTAGCAAGACATCTTCAGAGAGGCTTTATATGTACCACTATGTCTCAGAACAGCCTTTCAGAAAGGTGGAAGGGAATATGATGTATTTGCTCTCTTCTTATTTCTGTCCCTCATTAGAGAGTCTTCTGTAGAGTTTTAACTCCCTTACATTGCTGGATTGCATCACCCAGCCTCTCTCTAAGCAGATAGTGGAGAAGGCAGAGCCTCCATGGGGCCGGTCCAGTCATTTGGGCACTTCAGTGTCTCTGTTAAGTCAGCACAACACATGGTGCTCCTCAGTCTGCAACTGCAGCAGTGCCAACCCCAGAGACCTGGCTTCATGACTACTAACAGAACAAGCCATTACTAAGGCTACTCTGGCAAGAAAGGAGTGACAGTCCAGGTTGCTGCATAAACTGAGTTTGGTATATGTGCAAAACACTTGTTCATAAGGAACTCTCTTGTTAGGTTAAGACATGGCTCTGTTCCCTTTACCAAGTAAAACTGATGCAGTGTCCTTTGAATCTCATGTCCTTTGAACCTGAGTTCCAAAGGAACCAGCATAAAATGCCCCATAAAACTATTGTAAGAATAAAGGGGTGAAAAGATTAGGAAAAAAAAGTAATAGGTGATGAAATGTCACCTGATCAACATGGACATAAAGTAGATAAATAATTAGACCAAATATTAAACCATGAATTTCAAAAAGGACTAATTGAATTGATTGCCTGCATGATATGAGTTCAAGAAGGATGTTAGCTGGGCACGGTGGCTCACGCCTGTAATCCCAGCACTTTGGGAGGCTGAGGCGGGCAGATCACAAGGTCAAGAGATCGAGACCATCCTGGCCAACAGGGTGAAACCCCATCTCTACTAAAAATACAAGAAAAACTAGCTGGGCATGGTGGCATGCGCCTGTAGTCCCAGCTACTGGGAAGGCTGAGGCAGGAGAATTGCTTGAATCCGGGAGGTGGAGGTTGCAGTGAGCTGAGATCGTGCCACTGCACTCCAGCTTGGCACCTGGTGACACAGCGAGACTCTGTCTCAAAACAAAAAAACAAAAAAAAAAAAAAAAAAAAAAAGGAAGGATATTAAGGCAACAGTATAATGTTTTAATTAATTTAATAAAATGCATTCTGGGATGTCAAGCTCAGGAAAGAATTGGAAGAGAAAATAAGAATCATAGTAAAGAAAGCAAATTGGGGTCAGGCAAGCTGACTTACACTTGTAATCCCAGCACTTTTGGAGGCCAAGGCAGATGGATCACTTGAGGTCAGGAGTTTGTAGAAAAACAAGCTAAGATAGCTTGTTTCTTTCCTCACATACAGGTGTCTGTGACTTTTTTTCTGAAATGGAAAGTCTCATTTCTTGCATTGTTAGAGTGTCACTAAAAAATATGACTTGTGTGTCTGTTCCATACTTAACCCTACATTAGCTTCACAGAACCAAACTGCATTCAGAAGAACTCCACCTGTCTTGTGCACAGTACTGTCATTCCAAGAGAGATTTAGACTCTGAACCTCAAAATATGTACTTTGTCTCTCTAAAGTATTTTACCAGTTCCTTCAAGCACCAGAAATGCTGTTTCTTTTCATCTGCTGTCACATGTAGCCCTCCTTAATTTTTCAATGATTCTGGCAGCATTTCCACTAATACTGATTTGTGGTTTCAGATATCCTCTATTGTCATAAGATAAAGTTTGTGTTGCTCTTTTTCCTTATTGCTTCTGGATGATCTACTGTAGACAGAGACAGAGAAAATGCTAACTTTACACAACCTGCTTCAGAAAAGCTCACTTTCTCCTTGAAACACTGTCTTCACTTGGCTGCAGGATACTTTTTTCCACTCATTCCCAAACTGCTTTTTCTTCTTCTTTGCTCAGTCTTACTTTCATGACCTCAGAAAGGTAATGACCCAGGGGACACCCTCCAGTCCTACCCCAGAAGAGAGGTTATCCAATCCCTCATCTTTAAATACTAAACTTAAAAATGGTTAACTACTGCCATAAGCTGATAATTTCCAAATAAATACCTTCCACCTAGACTTGCCCTGAACTACCTGCTTATATACCCAAATGCTTATTTGTCATGTAACCCTGGATATTTTATAATCACCTGAAATATATTCCTAGTAAAGTTACTAGATTTCAAAGATAAAGAATCATTTTCACAGCCAGTTAATATAAGAAAAAAGTCCAGCTGACCTCAGGCTTTTCTATTAACAAAATTTTCAATACAAAACTGCAAAAAAGGGTGGGGCTCAGTGGCTTATGGCTGTAATCCCAGCACTTTGGGTGGCTGAGGAGGATCACTTGAGGTTGGGAGTTCCAGACCAGTTTGACCAACATGGAGAAACCCCGCCTCTACTAGAACTACAAAATTAGCCTGGCATGGTGGTGCATGTCTGTAATCCCAGCTAATCAGGAGGCTGAGGCAGGAGAATCACTTGAACTCGGGAGGTGGATGTTGCGGTGAGCAAAGATCATGGCATTGCACTCCAGCCTGATCAACAAGAGTGAAACTCTGTCTCAAAAACAAAAAAACTGTGAAAAGTCAGTAAAGCAATTGCTACAAAATTTTTAGGGTGAGTCAAATTAAGAACTTTTTACCAGGTTAAAGAGTGATCCTTTAACAAAAAAGAGGAAACCTTTTTTTGAATAATCAAGAATTCGGGGCCCTTGGTCCCTAAGACCTTTTATTAGAGGATGAATATTAGATAACCAAGAGGTGACACAAAAAGCATGGTAAAAAGATTGGTAGTAGGCTTTAAATTTAATTGAGGAACTAATTCTAAAGCAAATGTAGAATTAGGTGACAGATGAGAATGTGTTATTGAAAACCTGGGCATTATAGACTGTATTCAGTTTGATTAAGGGGAGGCTAAAAAGTGGGAAGAATGATAGTATTCTTATAAAGTGAATTCTGTTAAAATGCACTACATACATTTTTAAAAATCACTGATCTTTTGTTAGTACAATAAAAATCACAGGGCTGTCTGGGCATGGTGGCTCACACCTGTAATCCCAGCACTTTCGGAGGCCGAGGCGGGCAGGTGATGAGGTCAAGAGATTGAGACCATCTTGGCCAACATGATGAAACCCTGTCTCTACTAAAAATAAAAAAATTAGCCGGGTGTGGTAGCACACACCTGCAGTCCCAGCTACTTGGGAGTCTGAGGCAGGAGAATCGCTTGAACCCGGGAGGTGGAGATTGCAGTGAGCCAAGATCGCACCACTGCACTCCAGTCAGGTGACAGAGTGAGACTCTGTCTGAGACAAAAAAAGAAAAAAGAATCACAGGGCTAATGGGAAAAGGAGGTCAAAGTCTAATGCTCAAAAACTTTGTGTCAGTGACACACAACAGTGAAGTCTTCAGTTGCAATTTTGGATTTAATTTCTCATTTTGATTCTTTTGGTTTTTGCCTTATTAATTTTGAAGCATTATTAAGTGTATATATACTAGGATCCTTATGTTCACTTCATGAATTAACCACTTAATTATGTAATGTCTCTCTTTATATCTAGTAATACTCTTGGTTCTAAATTCTACTTTGATATTAACTTAGCTATTCCAGTTGTCTTTTAATTTTATTTACCTTTTTCCATACTTTTTTTTTTTTTTTTTT